TTTTATTCCTGATATTAGAGATTTTTTTCTCTCTCTCTTTTTCTTATCAGTATAGCTATGTGATTATAAATTTTGATGATCTTTTCAAAGATCCAGCTTTTTAGTTTGTTAATATTTTATATTGTTTATTTTCTATTTTGTTGATTTCTGCTGTTACTTTTATTATTTCCTTCCTTTTGTTTTTAGTTACTTCAGGTGGATTATACACATTTTTTTCTTTTGTAATTAGCATCTAATGCTATTAATTTCTGTCTAAGCACGGCTCTGGCTGCATATGACAGGTTTTGATATGTTGTATTTTAATTATCATCCAGTTCAAGGTAGTTTCTAATTTTGTTAAGGATTTCTTCTTTGACCAAAGTGTTACTTAGAAAGGTATTTAACTTCCAGTTATTTGGGGTGAACTTAATAGGCAATTGTCTATATGAGAGGAGCCCTGGTGGTGCAGTGGTTAAAGCGCTCGGCTGCTAACTGAAAGCTTTTTCAGTTTGAACCCACCAGCCGCTCCATGGGAGAAAGATGTGGCAGTCTGCTTTTGTAAAGATTTACAGCCTTGGAAACCCTATGGGACAGCTCTACTCTGTTCTGTAAGGTCACTATGAGTCAGAATCGACTCGACGGCCATGGGTTTGGTTGGTTTTGGTTTGTCTATATGAAATGATTTCCCCAATGCGTGGGAAAATCCTGTTTTGTTCCATACCAGCATCCAATCAGCACATTGCCACTAAACTTTCCCTATCTATTCAATGATGCCTGAAAAGTCCGTAATAGTTAGCAAAATCCTTTCTACCACAATTGGAGACAGATTGAATGCAGGTAGGCCTGGGAGAAGAACTACTTTGACTTAAGTATGTGACAGGAGGGTGGGGAGGGGCACATTGGGCCTAAAGCAGGGCTATGCCAAAACAGGTGGGAAGAGCAGGTCAGAAGTTCATACCCAGGGTAAATTTTGCTGACTTTTGCTTGGCTATAGTAACTTGTATTTTCATGGGCAGCTGCAATTCATAAATGCCCTGAAGAAGGTGAAAAAAATGTGGCTTTCACTAGGAGTTATATTTCCTAACACGTATTCCTCTCTCTACCCTATACCTTTTTCAGAATGCATAGTTTTAGGAGTGGAAGGTCCTGCCCCACCAAACAACTCATTAATGCAGCAAAAGGACAAGGAAAACAGTACTTTGGGTAATTTTCTCTCTTTTAATAATAATTCTAATGGGAGAGTGCTGTGCTCATATAGTTTTTACGTTTTAGGATCTTGAATTGTCTTGTATGTATTTGTAGATGATTGTCTCAATAATATTTATTATGTGTAAGAGTGTTGATAACTTTTTTATTCTGAAATTATTTCTGTTCTTATTTGGCACCTTTTTCAAGAAAGTGATCACTAAACAAACCCATGGTATGTCCAAAGGAAATGTTTCATTCAATTTTGGAAAAATAAATTATTACTCTAGACATTTTTAAAAACAGGTCTTAGCAAGTGTTAGTGATTTATTTTCTATACCCCCTACTTAACCTGTTGTGGATTGTGTGGATTGAATTGTGTCCCCCAAAAATGTGTGTCAACTTGGCTAGGCCATGATTCCCAATATTGTGTGACTGTCTACCATTTTGTCATCTGATGTGACTTTCCTATGTGTTGTAAATCCTACCTTTATGTTTAATGAAGCAAGATTAGAGGCAGTTTGTTGAGGCAGGACTCAATCTACAAAATTAGGTTGCATCTTGCCTCAGTATCTTTTGAGATATAAAAGTGAGATAGATAACAACATACATACATACATAACATACATAACAACATACATAACAACAATAACGACGAGCCTCCTAAACGGTGAGAGGATAAATTTCTCTTTGTTAAAGCCACCACTTGTGATATTTCTGTTATAGTAGCATCTAATGACTACCTCTACCTTCCAAACTTTTATTTAGCATCGTAACTAACTTTTTACTTAAATTAAAAAAAATTTTTTTCTTGTTAACTGAGCACTTTAATGAAAAATAATTATGATGATCTCAAAATGCAATTCTTGGACTCAATAAATATCCTACCTAATTATACTCAATTAATCAACATCAAGAAATGTAATTAGATGTCAGGTCAGCAACAGAAAAAAATAAGCAAAATAACTATGAAACTATAAATCTCAGGAATGGGGAACATGCATGAGTAATTAAGTTACTTTGCTACTTTATATTTAGAAAAAACACAGTTCACATTTGTTTCTTCATATATATATCAAAGAGTTAAATTAAACTTCTGATGATAACAACGTAAAACTATAATCTTTCTAAACTTAAAAGAAAATTCAGTTGCATACAAACAAATTACAGAAATTACAGGACCGTTCATCAGAAGCTTTAATTGTTTGTTGCACTACTTGGGTGTATACAACAAAGCCTCAAGCAAGACCTGAAGAGAGAGATGATTCCTATTTCCAATGAAGACATGATAAACCAGTTGCCATCAGTTCGATTCAAACTGTGCTCCATAGGGTTTTCAATGGCTGATTTTTTTTTTCAGAAATAGATCATCAGGCCTTTCTTCCAAGGCACCTCTGGGTTGACCTGAACCTCCAACTTTTGGTTCACCACGGAGCTCATTACTTGTTTGCATCACCCAGGGGCTCTTGAAGACATGACACATAATATGAAATAGGTGTCCTATGACAACTAGCTACCAATAAGATAATGAAAACAAAGGCCTCATATACAGTAAAACCTGCAAAAGCCCGAACGTGTATAAGGCGGAAACCTGTAAGAGAGGGGAAACTCAAATATTTTCCACTAATAGAGAGCTCTAGAAGAGTGGTAAGACTGCACCCTGTCAAAGGCGGAAAACTTGTGAGACCTGGAAAAACAAGGCGGTCCGCTGAGTTCCCGCTCTCCCAGGTTTCACTGTATTAGCAATTAACTAAGCTTAAAGAGATTTAGTCAATATTATGAAAACATTTAGAGTAATATTTGTGAAGGAAAGCATAATTTATTTTTTGCACTTCCAAAAACAATCATTTCTGAACACTTAAGAATACATTCCAACTTGTGGACTTTCTCTGATGTGAGAAGTTGCAGGTATGGTTTACTGACTTAACTTTTCAGAGTCGTCTTTGGAAGCAGTTGGATCTGGCTTGATTGTAGGAAAATTTGGTGTCTGGTTGGAGAGGCACATTTCTCCATGGCCTGTACTCACTGGAATGCCTTCATTCAGCAGAAGGTCTTTTTTCACTTCAGCCCCTAGGAGGTCGTTGACTCCCAAAGTACTTAACAACTCCCTTCAAGTCAACTATGAAGAGACGACTTAATCAAGACCAGGTTCTTCTAACAGGATCTCAAATTATTCGGAACGGATTTAGTTACATCTGATGAGAATTAATGAGGCCTTTATAGCTAATCTTCCACCAAAATGGCAACAACTAAACAGAGCATGGAAATCATTTGCTTTGTCACTAAAAGTAGTAATTTTTGTAGGACGTGAAGTAAAACCCAAAGGACAGAAGAAAAGCCTTTAAATATCCCTTTAAAGGCATTAAGGTGGAATTCTTCTAACTCCTCGCTGAGAACAACTCCTAGTTTTAAAACAGGGAGCACAATGGGGGACAGCCAGAACACATGAAGATTTGGTGCTGAAGGAGAGTTCTGTGGAACCAGACCTCGAGGACATGCTCCTCCAGCAGCAGCAGGTCTCAGGGCTGCAGAGGCAGAAATGCTCACAAGGGAAGGCTCGCAGGTGCTGGAGTAATATTTGTCCATCATGGCTGCTGTCTTCTGGGCATTAGACAGCACCACTGGGGGGTGGGAGTGGGGACTTATTGCAGTTTTCTTATTCATCAGAATCCCACTGGGTGCCCTCAAGGCTTACCACACTTCACTTAAGGTTGGGAGAGAGAGGGAGGGAGGGAGGCAGAGAGGGAGTTTATAGGAAAGTGTGAGGTTCTATGCTGACAGATGCTTGCAGGTTGCAGGGCTTAATTTTTTACCTTAAAATGTGGACAAAATAGGTCAACTTCTATATTCAATTCTGAGAACTAGATTGGACATACAGAAACAAAATCTGTGAGCAAAGTTCACAGCTGAACTGTCTTGGAGTTTGTGTGACTGAACAGGAAGGAAGGGAGACTCACCCAAAGGCCGTGTTTGGTAACATCCCATACGCGCAACAAGATCCATGTTACAGAAAACTTCTTAAGAAAAACAGCTCTTGCTTTTCTTTGTTTTGTATTTATACTCTATGCTAGAAATAAATATTTCTAGGCATCTCTTACTAGTAGACATCATCATTTTTCATTTTTATGGGATGGCTCAGCTGATTAAATTATAGATTATTTTAAGATCAACTGTCTTCACTGACTTTGTGATTCCCCAAATAAAAAATATGCTAAATAAAAAAAATTCCAGCTTGTTCAACCTTAGTGCTCATCCTACTTATTTGTAATGAAGTACCATGTACTTGCCACTTTATGTTTGTCTGAAGTGCCACCCTTAGGGACAGACGTTTAGTTCTGATGTTTCTAATTTTTATTCTCATCAAAATTTAGGAGGAGATAAACACATCATTAATTAGTTCATTTTATTTCCTGAGGAGAATCAGTTATATGATAAACCTATACAGTCTCTATGATCAAAAGATTAGACTTGAAAACTGTCTTTGCATTTGCTATTCTATTTTCTCATTTTGTCTGTTCTATAGATACCAAAACATTTGAATTAATTTCATAAGAATTTTTAAAAATTTGTCCCACATATAATACATATTGTTTTTCTAATAATATGTAATACAGGAGAAAATTGGTTGATCTTTGGATTTCATTTCATATATACATTTTATGACTATTTGTCATCTAAATCTAATATTTCTAGAACAAGAATGCCACCAAAATAACATTCTAGTATAACTTCAGGTATTATGGATAAATTTAACACATGGAGTCCTTTGCCAAGCTTTTAAAAAAAATCACTCTGCTTTTGTGTGTGTGTGTGTGTGTGTGTGTGTGTGTGTGCAGTGAACACGTTGCTGTCTGTACTGGTGGATACAAAAGCTGTGCTCTCCTGCCATCCTATCCCGCTGACAACTCTGGTGTTAGCAACATGGAAAATCATCTTCAGAGACAACACTTCCTGCACCAGAGCCTACAGAAAAGATACACATGAGACCATGGAAACCAACTGTACTGATAAGGGAATAACCTCGGCCTCCAGCCCTGACCGGAATTCTGCCCTTCAGATTGAGCCAGTGGCCATCACTCATGATGGGCATTACGTCTGTGATATGGTAACGTCTGAGGGGAATTTCAGGCATGGCTATCACCTCCAAGTGTTAGGTAAGGAACATCATGTATCGTGGTATTTCAGATAACCAGATTTGGGACTGAATCACGTGTCTCTGTAAATTCCATATTGCTTATGTAAAGACTGGAGCACCTGTTTTTCCCTTATATCTCTGCAGTGCCCCCTAAGACGACCATACTTTTAACTGTGCAAGGCAGTTGCAGGGAAACCAGCTGCATAGATCTCCTGGACCCCAGAGGGGGACTGTGTCACTAAGCAAGAAGATCAAGGCAATGATATAGTGTCTGTCCAGAGCATGTGCCACTGGGAAGAGGGCAATGTGTCTGCTGTGACCTGCTCTGTCTCTCACTTGACTGGAAACAGGAGTCTGTCACTAGACCTACATCGAGGTAAGTAATTCCTCTTGTTCTGCGTTAGAGTTTTCCGTTCTTTCAGAGAAGTTGTGTTGAGAAGGAAAAAAGAGTGTGCACAGAATTTCAACTGGTTTTCATTCAAGAATGTTCTCCTCACTCCCTATTTTATCCCCTTACCCTCCCCCAAATAAAGAGGTATGTCTAGAAGAATATTACAGATATTTTTTGTAAAAAGCCATATTTTAGAGTGCAGTTTATTCTGTTTTTAATGTTCACTTCTATACTAGTAATAAATTAGTTTATGTTATGCAATTTTAAACAAATACTTATGACTTTAACAGAAAGATAAAGTGTAATTTTCAGCAAATACTTGTCTTTTAATAGCTAATCGAAAGTTTGGCTGGTCATTGGAATCCACCAGCTGCTCCACTGGAGACAGATGTGGCAGTCTGCTTTCCTAAAGGTTATAGTCTTGGAAATCCTATGGGGCAGTTCTACTCTGTCCTATAGCATTGCTATGAGTCAGAATCGACTCGACAGAAATGGATTTTATTTTTTCAGTGGTTTCCTTCATGATCTCCACACCTATATTACATATTTTGATAAATAACTCAAGCCAGAAACCTGCTGGTATCCCACATCATCCTTCTTCCCTATTCCTCATATTCAAAACCAATCACTATGTTTTGTTGATTTTATCTTAAAAATCTTTCTAGAATCTGGACCATTGTCTTTCTTCCTAGTTTATGGCTTTAGGTGAGCCTGTAATCATCTCTCACTGTTACATAGACATGATAGTGTCCATCTAACAGGTCGTCTGGCTTTTAACTTACCTCATTCCAATTTATCCCCTCCACAAACAACCCTTCTTAAACAAAAAACATGTCACTCTTTACCTAAAAACCCTCAATGGCTTCTATAGCTTGTTGAAAGCTAAATCCCTTTGAAAACCTCAGCTTACTGCTCCCATAGCTTCTTGGCTCACTATTTTCCAGCCCTCCTGTTGGCATGTCCACGGTACGTGAGACGAAGTCTCACCATCCTCTCTTCTAAGGAGCATTCTGGCTGCACTTCTTCTAAGGCAGATTTGTTTGTTCTTCTGGCAGTCCATGGTATATTCAATATTCTTCACCACTACCACAATTCAAATGCATCAGTTCTTTTTTGGTCTCCCTAATTCAGTCACCCTAATTCAACCCACATTAATGTTGACCGATTCTTTTGGTACAGTGACTCTGTATTCTTCCATCTTCTTTTAATGCTTCCTGCGTTGTTCAGTATTTTGCCCATAAAATCCTTCACTACTGCAACTTGAGGCTTGAATGTTTTCTTCAGTTCTTTCAGCTTGAGAAGTGCCTAGCGTGTTCTTCCCTGGTTTTCTAATTCCAGGTCCTTGCACAAGTCATTATAATACTTTACTTTGTCTTCTCGAACAGCCCTTTGAAACCTTCTGCTCATTTCTTTTACTTCATCATTTCTTCTGTTTGCTTTAGCTATTTGACATTCAAGAGCAAGTTTCAGAGTCTCTTTTGACATCCATTTTGGTTGAATTGGTCTATGTTCAATCATTTCAGGAGGTAGCAAATGATCAATAACCGATGATACTGAAGGAAGAAGTCCAAGCTGCACTGAAGACATTAGGGAAAAATGAGACTCCAGGAATTGGCAGAATAACAATTGAGATGTTTCAACAAACAGATGAAGCGCTGGAAGTGCTCACTCATCTATGCCAAGAACTTTTGAAGACATCTATCTGGCCAACTGACTGGAAGGGATCCATATTTATGCCTATTCCAAAGAAAGGTGATCCAACCGAATGCAGAAATTATCGAACAATATCATTATTATCACACTCAAGTAAAATTTTGTGGAAGATCATTCAAAAGCAGTTGCAGCAGTACATTGACAGGGAACTGACAGAAACTCAAGGTGGGTTCATAAGAGGACATGGAATGAGGGATATCATTGCCGAAGTCAGATGGATTCTGGCTGAAAGCACAGAATACCAGAAAGTTGTGTACCTGTGTTTTATTGACTATGCACTTTGTGGATCATAACAAATTATAGATAACACTTCAAAGAATGGGAATTCCAGAACACTTAATTTTGCTCATGAGGAACCTGTACATAGAACAAGAGGCAGTCGTTTGAACAGAATAAGGAGATACAGTGTGGTTTAAAGTCAGGAAACGTGTGTCAGGGTTGTATCCTTTCACCATATTTATTCAATCTGTATGCTAAACAAATAATTCGAGAAGCTGGACTATATGAAGAAACTCCGCATCAGGATTGGAGGAAGACTCAGTAACAACTTGAGATATGTAGATGACACGTTCTTGCTTGCTGAAAGTGAACAAGACTTGAAACACTTACTGATGAAAATCAAAGACTACAACCTTCAATATGGATTACACCTCAATGTACAGAGAACAAAAATCCTTCCAACTGGACCAATAAGCAACATCACATAAATGGAGAAAAGATTGAAGTTGTCAAGGATTTCATTTTATTTGAATCCTCAATCAATGGCCATGGAAGTCAAGAAATCAAAGGATGCATTGCATTGGGCAAATCTGCTGCAAAAGACCTGTTTAAAGTGCTTTTTAGAAGCAAAGAAGTCACTTTAAGGACTAAGGTGTGCCTGACTCAAGCTGTGGTGTTTTCAATTGCCTCAAATGCATGTGAAAGCTGGACAATGAATAAGGAAGACCGAAGAAGAACTGACACCTTTGCGTTGTGGCGTTGGCAAAGAATATTGAATATACTATGGACTGCCAAAAGAATGAACAAATCTGTCTTGGAACAAGTGCAGTCAGAATGCTCCTTAGGAGTGAGGATAGTGAGACTTCGTCTCACGTACTTTGGACATATTATCAGGAGGGACCAGTCCCTGGAGAAGGACATCATGCTTAGGAAGGTAGAGGGTCACTGAAAAAGAGGAAGACCCTCAACGAGATGGATTGACACAGTGGCTGCAACAATGGGCTCAAGCATAACAACAATAGTGAGGATGGCGCAGGAATGTGTTTCGTTCTGTTGTTCATAGGGTTACTCTGAGTTGGAACCGACTTGATGGCACCTGACAACAACAACAGCAAGTCAACCCATGACAAATGATTTATAGTAGGTTTTTTTTTTTAATGCTCGTTTAGTTTGCACTATTGTAAATTTTTTTTCATTTGCATGAGTATGACATCTCTGGCTGAATTATGAGCTTTTTGAGGGTCCCTCATGATGTCTCAGAGCTTAGCTGACATTCTTCTAATTCAGACATTGAACGGGTTATTTAATGTGATGACATGATCTCTTGGGGCCAAAACTCAAGTGTGAATTTAGAGTTCACATGGTCTTTCAGCTGCCATTTTCACAGAAGAAAAGAATTTGGAACGATGGTTCTAATTAGTCCTATTATATTTTTTCAGTAATTCCCAGGGTCATTACATAGATAAACAGATGAAAGTACAAATAAATAAAATGGCTTGATAAAGGGGTTACAGCAATTCAGTGAGAAAATCACTTCACTGTGTGGAAAATGTTATCAGATAGTGCCCAAAATATTAAGAATAATTCCCTTCAATCAGTATTTGCATGAGAAATTATAAAGTACATTTTCTTTTCTCTTGTAAAATTGAGAAGTAGTGAGCAATGTTTATCCTGCATTCATTCATTCAGAAAATATTTATTAAAAACCTAACCAGTTGCTGTCGAGTCGACTCCAACTCATAGTGACCCGTGTGTGTCAGAGCAGAACCGTGCTCCGCAGGAATTTCAATGGCTGATTTTTTACAAGCAGATTGCCAGGCCTTTCTTCTGAGACGTCTTTGGCTGGACTTGAACCTCCAGTCTTTGGTTAGTAGCCAAGTGCATTCACCATTTGCACCATCATGTGCAAAACACAGAAGTGGTTCCTCAACATTGTTGTGAAAACATGACAAAATAGCAACAACAGAATTGTAATTGAGGAAATATTTTGATTATTACAGCCTGTGAACTTTTAGGGGTATTTTCAAATGCTCTTTTAAATTGTTGACTATAATTTGTTAATTATAAGATCTTTCAAATCATTTATTACCCGTCTATGTTTAAAGGTGCCAGAGTCACAGCATCTCTAGAGATGTTCATATTGATCATTCTCTTTGTTAAACTCTCTCTCCTTTTGGGCCTTCTGGTCATCGAGGGATTCGGTTACTTCAGAGGACAAGTGGCTGCAGGTACAGACTAAACTTTTCCTATACTGGGAAGTATAGGATTCATTAAGAGGAAAACATCATTGTAAGGCATTTGAGTTTACGATGACCTGGGAAAAGCTTTAAGTGTTTTTGGCACATTGCATATACTCCCCCAAAAAGGTTTTGCTAATACCCGAGAGCCCAGGCAGAGGTGCCCTGCAGTGCTGGGGCAAGAGCTGCTTCATTGTAGTTTCAAGCCAGGAAAGACGGAGCCTAACCCACCCGTTGAGAATTCAGTGGGGAAAATGAAGTGTAGCTGGGACCTCTCAAGTGTTTACTTTCAATATTCATGCTTCTGAGGCTTGTGTTCACTCCTGATTAATTATGTATTTTATATTTTTTCCTAGAGCATGAAAATTCAAAGAACTGTAAGTCAATTCAGACTTGATGAGCTATCACAAAAAAGCAGCCATTTGAAATCAGCCTTCGGGTTCAAGGTCTAGCCTCACAGCTCCTGTGACTCTGATACCTTCATGGTTACGAGAATTGATGTAATAGTTTACAAGACCTATTTCAAACTCTTAGCATACAGCGCGTATATACGCACGCGGAGCTTGGTGCCTGCCCTCAGAAATGCCTGTGATGACTCATCTACTCTCCCCTTTGCCCTACCGAGTTCTTGTTTGCAAAAGCGAAACAACGCTGCTGAAGAGGAATGGGGTTCAGCAAAAGGCAACTAACAGTACTGTGTGGTTTTTCTACACACCTCTGGTTCTTTGGATGGTGCTTTCATCCTAGCCTCTTGGTCTCTCCCCTCCTCACTCGTCAGGAGCCTCTTCAAACACTGTGTCCAAGTCAGCTAGTAGCTAATCTCCCATTCCTTGCTTGTTAAAAATTAGCAGGACAGTTGTGTTACATGTTTAGGCTGATTACTGAGTACATGTCCAGGAGTTATTTTTAGCAGTCCTCGTGTTCCTGTAGAAATTAGAAATTGACACCAACCAAGGAATTGTTAGAGTCATTGGAGGCAGCTCTGAATGTCACCTCACTTTATGAGCCCCTGTGTCTCAAGGCCCTTTCTCATCTGCACTCCAGGGTAGAGAAGGTGGCCTGACAACTGTTTAATGATGGTAAGAAGTGGGAGTGCTTGGAGAAACCCTGATCATCTTCTAGGCCAACATAAACTGGTACCCTGTCTTTACTGATACATGTGGTAATCCTATAGTAAGAAGTATCCCTTTATTTAAAGGAAGAAATTTCTTGTGTAAAGGGGCAGGTAATTAGGGCTATTACTTTCATTTTTAGCAAAACTCCAAAGGGAGAAATGACTGTATAATGTCTGGAGGGTACTATATGTCAGCATAGTCTAATTGTTGAAACAAACAACCCTAAAAAATCTCGGTTGTCAAACCACAAAAGTTTAATTCTTGCTCACTTCACACTCCAGTGTAGGTTGGTGGGGCTAGGTAGGGCAGGACGCAGGAGGGATTTTGCTCTGTGCTAACATTTTATCCCGTGGTCCTGCCTTTTTCAGAGTCTTCTCTATTCAACTGGTAAACTGGAAAAGGCGAGAATGGAGGAGTTTATCTGGGAAGTTTTTATGGACCAGGCCTAGGAGTAGCAATCACTCGTGCTCACATTGCATTGGCTAGTACTCAGTCACAAGGCTGTACTAACTCCTAAGGAGGCTGGAAAATGTAGCCTTGGTGCCTTGGAAGAAAAAGAAACAAGTTTGTTGTGCATCTAGCCAGTCTCTGTCCACAGTAAAGAACAGGACTAATACTAATATTAATATTTACTTCATTAGTAATTGAACATGAGTCAACAAATAAATTAGCAAATAATGTCATGTACAGTTTATAACAACTCTTTTCTTTCTTTTTTTTAATTAGAATTCTCTCATGCTTATGACTGGACATAGAACAGAAAGAAATCTGCTAATATAATTCTATAACACTCAAAGATACCTTGACAGAGATTGCTAGTTACCTGGTCCAGTGCTCACCCTCCTCATTCTCCTTGGGGTAGATGAATGACTCAAATGATTTTGAATGACTCAAAATCTTCATCTTTCCCTCCACCCGTGTAATTTGTCAGTTACCTTTATACTTCTGCCCATAAAGAAAGTGTATATTTCTCCATCCCATGTAATTTGCTTTGGCCAATACAATGAGGCAAAAATGGCAGTGCACCAGTTTTGAGCCTAGGTCACAAGAAGTCTTGCAGGTTTTTCTCCTCACTACTTCATGAGAATATACCTGGGCTAGCCTGCTGGAGGATGAAAACATGGAGCAGAGCTGAGTCACTCCAGTCCCAACCTCTACCTCCCTGTTGAGGTCAGCCTAGACCATCCAATAGACTTTCCATGCCCCAGACATGTGAGGAAGCTCAGACAAGATCAGCAGAGCTATCTAGCTGATGCCAGTTGATCTCAGATGTACAAGCAATTGTTGCCACTGAGGTTTTGTGGTTATTTGTTACATAGCATTATCGTGGCATTAGGTAACTGATACACTGCTTAATAACAAAACTCCAGTTTTATTTAGTGTGGAGATACACTTAGCTAAAAGACATTTCTCAGTTTCCCCTTGTGAAAGAGCACTCTAAAACTGAGGCACTTGACGCGACTAAAATGTCTGACAGGTCTGAATAGACTCCGTTTTGTCCTAGGTCCCTGCTTCTGCGTTTTAGAGTACATGATCCGTGACCACGCTTGTTTTGCAACATTCCGAAGTGGCCCACTTGGATTGTTGTAGGAACCAGCTCTGGAAGGAAGGAAACAGAGGTTAAGATTGAGTACCCCAGCCAATAGTAATTCTTGGTAAATGAGTGTTACAGAGCATGTTGAGTATGAACCAATCATATGTACCCCTGTCCTCTTTCCCAGCTTTGTACAGAGTTCTGCAAAATGTAACATAAAGGGCATGTGCTTATGGTCTGTCTTTGGAACTCCGTTTTGAACTTTCATTTTGGCGCTTCCCTATTTGCAAATCTTTCAGTCAGAATAAAACTCTTCTTTTACAGAAACTCTGTTTTATTTTTAACACCTTGCAGCTGAGTATGACCACCCTGTAAGTTTTGGCAAATAAGAAGTAAGCATAAATCTTGTGTAAGATTTTCAGGAAAATCCCTTGAAGAGAAGGGAGGAGACTTCTTTTGCTTTTTCTCCTTACTGCCTCTTTCTGGACTGCAATCTTGATGCGATGATTGGAGCTCCAGCAGCCACTGGGGCCCTGGGTGACCTTGAGGATTGAAGCACTCACTAAGATGGTGGAAAAGAAAGATGGAAGGATCCTGGGCCCTGATGACCATGGAATTGCCATAACAACCCTACACCACTGACCTACAGATTTCTGTCGTGTGAGAGAGAAAGAGAGAATAAACTATTTTGTTCAGGTCACTGTTATTTTGAGTTTTACTCTACATGCAGCTGAACTTAATCCTTACTGATAAAATACTTAGTGTGTCAATCTCAGGGTTTGCAACAGAAGGCTATGTTCTCTTCACGTACATTTTCATGGCTTATTTTCTTTCTTTCCTTGGAGATAATGAACTTAACTTCAGAATATAGGGGTCATAGGAATGAGAGTCATCTTTATGAAAATTTCAGGTTATGTAAACTCAAGGGATGCTTTGGGCTCATGGTGGGAAAGGGCTTGGGAATCTGGGGGTGTGCAAAGATTATCCAATAGTCAGCCAACCCCTAGATGTGTGAGACCATGTCTGCATTATAGGATTAGGAAGATAAAGATGCTCTTGTGGGCACTTGGAGAGGATGTGAGAGGGAAAAGCAGAGGAACTGAAATCTATGGGATTTAACTGTGTTAGTCTTTTTACCATTGCAAGGACCCCATCATTCCTGCAAGAGATTTATGTGAATTCATGCCACTTCTTCTCTACCCTTAATCCTAATTGTGCAGAGGGGCAATGTTTTCACTGTCAGCATTTCCTGGGTGATATTGGATTAAAGGGTCAAAAGCAACAGCCACCCCCCCTCCACCTCCTATCCTGGCACAGAGGTGAAAAAAATATATATTTTTTCTGAACGCACATATGCACACATGTTCATTTACAATAAATTAATTGTGTACCTATATTGAAGAAAACTTGGGGCAGTTTTTAGCAAAACACAATTGAGAGCCGCTAGATGGTGCTTCATCTTAATTCTTTCAGTGTTTTTGCAGCAAGCTAAAGTCTGTTAACCTCAGGAAAAATCATCTTGCATTTTTTTTTCTTTAAATTTTCCATACATCTGCCCCTCCATTTACAAGTTCTTTAGGTCTTCACAGGTGGTAGTTTTGGAATAATTATAAAAAGAAGTGAATATGGTTTAAAATAAAGTTAAGGAGAAAAAATCTTTTCAGTCCCCAAACATGAATTGTTTCACTTACCTTTAGTAGAAATACTTTGTTTACCGAACAAGATGGAGGGGATATTAGTAGTCTCATGTCAGGGGAAGGGGAAATGTAAGGTCTCTTAATTAGTGGTAAAGCCAAGATTAGTACTCACTTTTTAAACTGGAGAGTTGAGATCACCCAATAGCTGAAAGCAAATAGCTGCTTGTTAGTGTTAATGATAGCAGATGGTTAGAACCACAGATAAAGCTAGCTGGCCTTCACTTCCTGGGCCTTCCCCCAGGTTTCCTCCCCCATCATGTTTTAGAGTTTTACATGGTATTCTAGAGGTGGAAGGAAGCTACAGATAAACTAGGCCAACTTCCTCATTTTACAGAAGAGGAAACTGAGATTCTCAGAGTTAAGTGACTTTCGAGTGTTACTAAGAAATCAGCTGCCACGGAAACCTGCTTTTCTTACTGCAGACAGTACTCACAAAGTGGGCTTTACAGTTTATTTCATTTGTGGTGAGACTTGGAGACCAAGAGAGAATTATGGGAGTCTTCTAAAGGATCACAAGATGAAAAAGTGAAATAATGAATACAACTTTCATGAGATTAATTACTGTCTTCAAGGAAGGGTTGGATATTACTGCCATTAAAAATTGAGTGCCATCACATGTCAAGTACATCACATGCTAAACTTTGAGGGTGCAAATGCAATGGAAAGATTTAAAAAATCGATTGTTTAAGTCTTACTTGAGCTCTTTCTACTATCTGGAAAGAAGAGAACGGGTAGAGGAGAAAAATCTGTTTAGGAAAACACACCAACAGTTTAGGCAGGAAAGGTAACACCCAGATTGTAGAATGGACAGGGGATATCAAAGTGAAGGAAGCTAGAATACTCAGCACAGTAAAATTCAAGAAGTGCCTTCATTAGATCACATAGACAGCTGGTGGCCCTTTGGGAGTCCAGGAAAGGAGGAAATAGAATAAGCCCTAGAGGCAAGGAGAGAGTTGGCTATCATAAATTCTTTATGATCGGATGGCCGAAAAATTCTAGAATTAAGGATGCCTCTCTGTGAACCTTCAGTTAAAGTCTATTACATATAACAGTCTTCATGTGATTAATGGTGCTTTAGCAGGGATGGATTATCTGAAAAGCAAGGTAAGCACCGTGCTTACCTTGCTTACCAGATCATCTGTATTGAACAATTTCACATGAGTTTCATTTTGATGTGGTGAAAAAATGTGAAATTGTTCACTACAGTGATTTAGTAAGCAAAGTAAGCACCGTGCTTACCTTGCCTATTGGATACTCTGAAGGAAGAACGAACTCTGCCCATGCTGTTGTTGTTATTAGGTGCCATCCAGTGAGTGCCAACTCATAGCGACCCTACGTACAACAGAATGAAACACGGCATTAATCCTGTGCCATCCTCATGATCGTTGTTATGCTTGAGCCCATTGTTCTAGCTACTGTGTCAGTCCATCTTGTTGAGGGCCTTCCTCTTTTTCACTGACCCGCTACTTTACAAGCATGATGTCCTTCTCCAGGGACTGGTGCCTCCTAATAACATGTCCAAAGTACGTGAGACGAAGTTTTGCCATCCTCACTTCTAAGGAGCATTCTGGCTGTACTTCTTCCAAGACAGATTTTTTTCGTTCTTTTGGCAGTGCGTGGTAAATTTAATATTTTTTGCCAACACCGCAGCTCAAAGGCGTTGGTTCTTCTTTGGTCTTCCTTATTCATTGTCCAGCTTTCACATGCATATGAGGTGATTGAAAACACCATGGCTTGGGTCAGGTGCACCCAACTGGGTCAAAGATTTGCCCAATGCAGTGCTTTGTTTGATTTCTTGACTGCTTTTTCAATGGGCATCGATTGTGGATTCAAGTAAAATGAAATCCTTGACAACTTCAATCTTTTCTCCGTTTATCATGATGTTGCTTACTGATCCAGTTGTGAGGATTTTTGTTTTCTTTATGTTGAGGTGTAATCCATACTGAAGGCTGTGGTCTTTGATTTTCATCAGTTAGTGCTTCAAGTCCTCTTCACTTTCAGCAGGCAAGGTTATATCATCTACATAATACAGGTTGTTAATGAGTCTTCCTTTAATCCTGATGCCAAGTTCTTCTACATACAGTCCAGCTTCTCGGATCATTTGCTCAGCATACAGATTGAATAAATACGGTGAAAGGATACAACCCTGATGCACACCTTTCCTGACTTTAAACCACACAGTATCCCCTTGTTCTGTTCGAACGACTGCCTCTTGATTTACGTACAGGTTCCTCATGAGCAAAATTAAGTGTTCTGAAATTCGCATTCTTCACAATGTTATCCATAATTTGTAATGATCCACAAAGTCAAATGCCTTTGCATAGTCAATAAAACATGGGTAAATTTCTTTCTGGTATTCTCTGCTTTCAGCCAGGATCCATCTGACATCAGCAATGATATTCTTCATTCCACATCATCTTCTGAATCTGGCTTGAACTTCTGGCAGTTTCCTATAGATGTACTGCTGCAACTGCTTTTGAGTGACCGTCAGCAAAATTTTACTTAAATGTGATATTAATGATATTGTTTGATAATTTCCACATTCTGTTGCATCACCTTTCCTTGGAATAGGCATAAATAGGAATCTCTTCCAGTCAGTTGGCCAGGTAACTGTCTTCCAAATTTCTTAGCTTAGATGCGTGAACACTTTCAGTGTTGCATCCATTTGTTGAAACATCTCAACTGGTATTCCCTCAATTCCTGAAGCCTTGTTTTTCACCAATGCCTTCAGTGCAGCTTGGACTTCTTCCTTCAGCGCCATTGGTTCTTGATTATATGCTACCTCCTGAAATGGCTGAACGTCGACCAGTTCTTTTTGCTACAGTGACTCTGCGT